AATAATGATGGTAATAATAATGATAATAATAAAAAAAATAATGATAATAATATTAAAAAGCCAGATCTAGTAATATAATAATAATGATAATATTAATAATGGTTATAATAATGATGGTAATAATAATGATAATGATAATAATAGTAATAATTATAGTAATAATAATAACAATAACAATAATAATAGTAAACGGCTTGGATTGGGTGTGTGTATGGTGGGGTGGGGGGGGGGGGCGACATTAGCGAGTCCGAAGAGAGCGATAATGACGATGATGACCACGACTACGTCTTCAGTGACAGCAGTACCAGCGACGAGAACGGCATCAGTAGACCTAGTCATCACGTCATCAGCAAACAATGCCTTAGCAACAAAAGCTCTCAAAAACGAGATCTCCAACAACAACAACAACAACACGAAAGCGACTACGGCAAGACAAAGCAGCGGCACAATTGTCATTGGAAAAGTATGTTTGTGTGGAACAAGGGGGGTTCCTAAGTTGGAGTCAATACACAGACGTAAAGGGACAATGCTTTGGGTTGAATGCAAACAATCAGAAAACATTTTTTTTGGAAAACATTTTATTGGCACGCACTTAGTTTTTCTCCCAAAGATAAAAGTCTCTTGTTTGACAGCAGGATTCATGTATACCAAATAGCATTTAGAGCACATAAAAAATTTGATTTGATTAGAGTACACTTGTGACGCACAAAATCAATTTTAAAAAGAGTGCTTTGTAATAAAACATAGATATTCTGTAAATTCAATCCAGCTTATATTAAAATTGTCTTGTGCAGTTTCGAGATACCGAGTTAGGAAGTGCCGACCCGATCAATGGCTGAATGAATGAATTAAGTCATAAAGCTTTCTGTCAGAGAAACTTTTATACATTCGTAGAGATTGGTGACGAAAAAACAAGATGGGCTTAACACAAATTGGGTTTTCTATTTTGCGAATTGGCAAAACAAAATGTAATAAGGACAAAATTAGAAAATGGTGTCGGAGCACCACAGGAATGGACAAAGTACAAGGTCAAGTGAAATAAATTAGTAATCACAAATTGAAGACTGTAAAATCAAGCGTGCAAATACCCTCACCATTCCTTTTCTGCCTTTCAAGAATGTGTATTAGGTCACCAATCCTTTCCACACACCCCCCCCCCCCTCCCGAGAAGAGAGAGAGAGAGAGAGAGAGAGAGAGAGAGAGAGAGAGAGAGAGAGAGAGAGAGGGGGGGGGGAGAGAGAAGAGAGAAATGAGAAAAAGAAAAAGCACGAGGAGGAGAAAAGGGAGGGGGGGGGGAAGAAGAAGAAGAAGAAGACGAAGAAGACGAAGACGAAGAAAGGGACTTCACCCTCTTAAAACAACAGACAACCTAATAAACAAACGAACTAACCCAGTGCAAACATCGGACAAAGATTTAAACAAGGTTTAGATATTTAAGTTATTTCTTATTGTATGGCAATAAGATCATTGTCGGTATTTATTCCCTATAATAATTGGCAGATAGCGAGCAAAGCATCTAAACACAACGAAATTGTGAGACGTTTTTGAGAACCAACATAGTTTAAGTCTTTGGCTGCGGACAGTCAGTGGAATCGACCAGTCTATAGAATCGTGATAAAACGTGCTTGGAATGAGTTAAAGTTAGAGTGTCTGGGGATAGGCTTGCTTTGGGAGGGGGTGAGTAGAGAGGATAAAGAAACAGATTCAGAAAAATAACGCTAGGGTGTGGAAGAGCGGGAAATGTGGGTTCAGGGG